CCAAATCATAAATTATTACTGAAAATCATTCAAAGGCACTGAAACTCACGCAAACTCATTCCAATACAGTTAATTTATATTGATTGTAAGTTGAGTTTTACTGTGATTTAAATCAGCTTTTCCCCCCTTGCTTGGGACTGTTTCCTTCGTTGTTTTTTGTCTCTTTTTCTATGCATGTAAAAATTTGTATGCGACTCTGTTAGAATGCTGATTAGAACCTCTGACATATAAATGTGTGATCATCCTGTACTATTCTTTGTTTTTTGAAGTCTAACTTCCATCTTACGGAATAAATTAAAGATCAAGGATATAATTTCGAGCAGGTCCACCTACTAGACCTATCAAAGAGACTAGACTTTTTCTCCGCAAGATCAGCTGTTTCGATATATAGTGAGAAATAATTATTATGAATTTACAATGATTGTAAATAATTCGTTTGATAGTATCTTATATAATAGAAGCATCATAATTAACAAGATAACGTATCTGTTTGATCTTTTCAAATTTAGCTTGGCTATTCTTATCCATTCAACTGAGAAATGAACACCTTTAGTTAAACTTCTACAACTTTAAATCAATTAAAAAGTAGTAAATCATTGTAGCAGACTATTCGAACTATTACTTTATACAGAATTAGAGATACTTCCCTCGAGCTTTATTCAGGGTACTAGAGTGTTATTGACACTATTATTTCTATGTTCAAACTACATAATACGTACTTGAGATGGTAAAAATGCTTCCTAAGTAATACTTACTGCACGAATCGGTTCAATATGTTGGTGATTGTCAAGATAATCACCTTCTAAGACACTTGCTGCGACAACAAAACCTTTTCCTAAGACAAAATGAAAAAGAATAAATCAATTATATTTTAATTAAATTATTTTTAAATATACCAGCTTTCAGTTGATAAAGAAAATTAAATATTTTGCTATGATGTATTGAATATGTTTCCTTTTCGTCATCTCGGTCGAAATTAATGAATGCAAGCAATTGAGGCCTCCAGTTTTTTGTATGTGGTTCTGTTTCATCAACACGATATAGGGCATAACGAGCAGCTGACATTGATAAGCCACGGATACCGTCTCCCCATTCCTTTTCCGCTCTAAATATAAACAAAGTATACATGTATAACAAAAAAGCTCCCAAGAGTGTGGATCTTGTTTTTTTTTGTTCTGTACCCTTTATATTCAATAAATTTATACATGATGATTGCAATCAACATGGCAATCAGAGCAAAATACCATGAAGCAATAAACATAATTGAAATGCAAAGAAGTACACCTATACTCGAAAGAATCCTAAATGAAAAGAAAAACAGGTATTGTTTACTATCGATTCTTGTGCTTAAATTATTGAATTTTACCAATGATAAAAACGAAAACGTGGTCGCCAACTAGGTGCTTTTAGAATAGTTTGCAATGCACAAGCTAAGTTGACAAATCCATAGCATAATAAAAAGAACCTAAAATAGGATAGAAAATATTATTTCGATTGTACTCAATCATATACGTAAAGAATAATTGTATTATCAATATTTTCAACTAGAGATTAAGTTGCCTAATGAAAATATCAATAGTACAAATTATTTATATTTGTCTATTTTGTTTCTGTGCCTTCTTATTTACATTGATAGCAATGCTGTAAGTTTATCAACGTCAGCAATCAAAATTCCACATTCACATATAAATAATGTAAGAAACAATGCTGGCATGGGTTCACCTCGATAGGATTTTGCTAATGGGCGAAGTATTGGAATTAGATCGTCTTTAGCTACAGCTTGCAAAAGTCTTGGAGCACCTGCGAATAAGAAAACAGAATGAATGAAAATTGACAAAATACATATTACGTTTTTCATTGCACAATTGTTTTTACCTGTTAATGTTTGCAAAGCAGCTCCAACAGTTGAACAAAATGCACCTATCATAATAACCCATTTAGTTGGCCATGCTAGGACAGAAACGACTAACTGCTTATTAATGCTATCACCAAATTTATCTCGTAATAATGCACCATGGATACATGATGCCAAAAAGATCACATTTGATAAATCTAGAAGATTGAATTAGTGTTAAGACAGAGAATTATTTTTAAAAAAAAGCAATGTACATACAAACAAAAGATGTTGTTAATATTGCAGCAATAGTTCCACGTGGAATACTTCGACTAGGATCACGTAAATCTCCACTCCGATTGGAACCAGCCATAATACCTAATGAAATATAAAATGATTTTTATTTTCAAGAAGAAAAAAAAGAAATAAGCTTTTTACCGGTAACAGATGGAAAATAAATACCAACAAGTATGAGAAATGTTGTTAACTCTTGTGCAACAACTTCAAATGTTGCATCACCTTTTATATTATGTTCAATTTCGCCCTCAGAACGATAATGCGAAAAAAGATTTTCTATAAAACTAAAGTGTTTATTCTGTATTTGATAAATAAAAAGAACGAAAGCAACTTACCGGAGAATTGCCAATTTTTTAATCCAGGTACACCTTGTTCAATGCGGACATTTTGTATCTGTTTATCTGGTGAACAGAGTGTACTGGTTGATTTCGTACAAATATATTCATAAAGTGGACATGGAATAGTTTTATTTACTTCATCACACCATGCATCTGAATGACAATAACGACGTATATCATTATGTAATACATTAGATTTGATTAAATGACTTGGATTCGAACCAACGAGACAAATACTTTGAAGAAAAGAATAACTTTTTGTTTTAAACGAATGAAAAACATTTAACTTACGGTAAATCCGGTGGATTAAATGAGGTTTTAATAACACCGGCATAGATAGCAAAAATCGAAATAACAACAGCAAATAAAGAAATTGGAGCAATTCTCGTTACAAAACGGATACCAATTAATACACAAGTTCCAATAAGTAGAAGAAGAATAGTACCATATATACGATAATGATTAAATGCTACCATAGGTATTTCAACATCATCTCCAAAAAGACGACATTTTTCTGGGCACATATATTTCTTAAAGAAATGCTTTGGGGAAAAACCGAAACTATTAATTATATTTTACATACGACTACAATTTCTACAGCTCCAACAATATACATTGAAGCGGCAAATGTATTGCCCAGATAGAATAGTATGCCAACGGCACCACCGAACTCAGGTCCCAGTGACCGAGATATCATAAAATAAGCTCCGCCAGCTGGTACCAAACCATTTGTTGCGATAGCTGCCATTGAAATAGCTGTTAGAAGAGTCTGAAGGCAAAAAGTAAATGCTTTAAAAATAAATCTAATTATATAGCATTTTTTTTCCATACACATGAACTACAAATGACAACAATTAACAGCGTTTGAAGTGCGCCAGCAATACCAATTAACCAAAACAGACGAATAAACACAATAACACCTAAAGTAAAAATAGAAAAACGATTTTTTACAAGTAAAACACAATATAGCTTACCGAATATATTCTGAACACATGGAAGGTAAACACCGAAGATTGTACCGAGATTTGCAGATTTCTGGAATATGAAAATTAACATTTGGTTTCGTTTTTCTTAACTACTATAAGATTATTTTCATCTGTAACAAACCTGCGAATTCCCTGTTGATTTTTCAGCTTCTGCTGGATTTGGTACAATCCCACCTTTATAATTATATAGTTGATCAAGTACTGTTCGTGGTCGATTATCACGATCCTTCAAATAAATTCAGCAAACTCTTACTTTTTCGGTTTTTATTTCTACTAAAAAAGCAAAACTTTACATACCTCATAAATACTTTCATTTAACTTTATTGAACAATCTACTGTTGATTGAGCTTGTAATGGGACTTTTTCATTTTCAGTCATTGAATTTGCATTATTAATTGCATCTTAAAATAATTCTATTCTCCAAACTTATATGGCCTCAAAAAGTTTTCATTTACCAGCTTCATTTGCATCCGATACTTCAGTTGATTTGACAACTACGAAACGTCCACTTTTTTCTGTCGATGATAATGAACCTACGAAGAACCAGAAGAAGAAAAGAAAATACATAAGTGGATTTCATTTTCTTCCTTAGATTAATATTATCTCCTGCTCACTCATTAGATCTAATCCGTCCTTTTTATTGTGCCTACAATAATTTGAAAGGATGCATGTTGAGTTTTTCTTCTTCGCATTTGCTACGTTACTACGGTTATAAAAAAAAAGAGGGAGAATAAAGATCAAATAATTTCATATGACATTTCACTCCATTAATCCGTACAAAAAGAAAAAGACGATGAATGATAGACAAATACACATGAAAGAGTAATTAATAAAACATGTCAGATCCTTCATTCTGATAATCTAAGTTGAAAGAAAGTAGGCTTCACTCTTCTTTATTCAGATAAAGACTCATAAGGGAAAACAATTTTCCTATTTATTTATTTTACAAACCGTGCCGAGATCCTGACGACAGGTCATCTTGATTTGTACTATTCTGTTGTTGTGAAGAACTTCGATTCGTATCATTAAATTTCACATGACACGGCGATCGATTTAATGAACTAAATGCTTGTTGTTCTGGTTGCTGCTGTTTTCCATCAGTAACTGTTGCCATATTTCTAAATCAGATACGAACTAATAATTTATTTATCAGAAAAAAGTTTATAAGCTGGAAAGAACCGTATTTTCTATTCTATTTGCTTCTCCTTCTTTTTTCTCCTTCTGTCAATCTCTATCTACCTGATTATCAATTTGCACTATATCTTGGTTATTTTAGCAGTAGTAACCGTAGAACATATGAATAATAATGGCAGCAGTATCGTTTCTCTGATGCTTCTTTATAATCTCGTCGGACTTGTTGCGTTCTTAGTTTTTTTCTCTTCTTTACTGGGAGTTTGCCGTTCTTGAAGTAATTCGTTGTTATTGCGGATGCTACGTTAGTTTTCTATAGATTCTCAATAACGTTTCAAGGATTGAGAGATATAAAACTACATAATAGAAGATTTCGGCAATAACTTGATTGCTCATCATCTAAACTAGAAGGGAACCTAACCGAGAAAACTATAAATAGAAAATACATCATTAATTCATTTTTTCCTATTATCTTGGTAATCTTTTATGACACGAGTCTGAGAACCCATAGAAATGTTACATCAGTCTTGATAGGATACAAGCAAAACAGAAAAAAAAGCAGCATCATATAAGATGTTGCGTATGAATTAGTTTAGCCTAAAGCGATCAAAATGTGTTTTATAGCGTAAAACGAATAAATGCATTACATGTGACGTATGACAATGATAGTTCTCACTCCTACACACAGTAATGCTCGAAATCTAGTCCAGCGCTTCTGTTCACATCCGTCTTGTTTCTCGCTTCTTTTTTTTCTTGTAGCTGTTTCTCTCTGTTTCCCGTGGCTTTTATATTGGATGCGTTGTTCTTTTCTTTCTGATTTTCAAGAAGAATTGACTCGTTGCAGCAAAAACAGAAAGCAACAAACACACCGCAGACAACCGAAGTAAGAGCAACAATAATAGCAACAAGGAAAAAAAAAGAATAACAAGACCGACAAGATTTTTAGCAAGGATTTATTTTATAGAAAAAATTAAAAAAGATTACCTGATTGAGAAATTACGTTTAGTTTCTTTTTTTTCTCTTCCTATTCTTTATAATAAGTTGTTCGCTTGTCTATTTGAGATAGTTAATAGAATTATATTTGTCTCGGGAAAATGATTCTACTCCGAAAACTATATAAACAAGCATTTTCCCGACTCATACTCATCTTAAATATGACCAAATCAAATAATTGATTTTCCTATCAAACTCTCCTATTTTTTTCCCTTCACATTCCAAATTTTATTCTTCGTAAGAAAAATTTCTCGCTCAGTGCGCTCAATAATATAATTAACTAGCGCTCTATATGTAAATTGGTATCTAATCATAAGATTAAAGCTAACAAAACAAAAACGAGAAAAACTGATTTCACTATCCTAATTTTGATGTAGCTCATACCTAGAGTTTATTTTTTTATGGCGGAATTCCGGAGTATTGCAGTAAAAGAGTCGAAATTTTATATTTTATTTCTCCTGCTATATAAATTGAAGTATACTTACCTTTGCTATTTTTCAAGGACTGATTTCTACACTATTATTATATCAAATAACTAACAAAAAATATTCGATTATCAGTCATGCCGTATGAATACGAATGTTTATTTATGTTCAAATCACGATTGCATAGGGAGATGATAATAATAATTCTTTGTGAGGATATACACCATTTCAAATACTACATTAACAGCAACAACAATAAAGAATTTAATAATAACAGTAAACAGAAGAACACATCAACTATATATGTAGAGATATAGTTCTAAAAATAAGTATTGACATAAACTCGATCGATTGGTAAGACCCCAGTACCCGTCGTTCTATTCAAACATTAAGCTTGTAAATACATGCGCGATCGTGTCGAGATCAGACACAATTATCAACAATTGTTTTTCTTGATTTCCTATGCAGGAAGTTCCTCCTAGGGTACTGTCAAATTAATACTCGATTGCGATTCAAGACAACAGCTAAAAAACAAGAGAAACCAATAATAATGAAAGCGACGGCATCTTCCTTGGTACTCTGCCGAATATAAACTTCAATTATATTCCGACGAAGAACAGCACCGTCTTCCTTTTGTAAGACAATATTGCTTGCACTTATTTTTTTGGTCGTTCTCTTGACTTTTATTTTTATCCCCATCTATGCCTTGGTGCATTTTTTTTTGCTAGTCTGAATATTATTGGTATATAAGCAAGACAATCATCCGAGAACATAAGGATCATCGATACTCCTACTAATTCTAGTACTCTTCTCTAAGACGGCAATTCAATGTTAATGTCACATTTTATCAATCATTACTAGAGATATAATTTATTGGGCTTTCTCTTTATCAAATATTATCGTAGGAAAAAAACGATGGCTTAAAGTCAATCAATATCTATCATATTTGCATTACATTCTAATGCAATAATCATGCTGGCATCACGAATATCTTGCATATGAAAAAGTAAATTGCTTTCTATTAAACCTAGAAACATAACATAAATGTATGCAAAGCGTTCTATTTTTCTTTTTCAATGTTCGTTTTCTCTCTTTCTTGCTTTTTCTTTTCAATTTATTAGCTTCATTTAATCTTCCTGTAATTTCTCTTGTCTAAATATAGTTTCTTTTCATTAACTCTTGAAGAATGCATATCATATTACAAGGAGCTAAAATATCAATAAATGTATCTAATTGCGATGTAAAATATATCTTTTTATTTTGCATAATCTAAAGAGGTCGCTTATAGTTGTATTGTACGAAGTCCATTGCTTAACGACCATGTTTACAAGTGTTTTTCACATGCATATAGTAAAAAAAGCTACTTCACTCGACAACAGTATCAGTTCTTTTATTGATCAAACATGGCGTTACCATTTTTACCTGGCAACACATTCGAACGAAAAGTAATTATTAATTTTTTAATTACAAAAGAAAAAATAGCTAATTGTTTTTTCTATTTTTTCAAAGATCGGCAAAGATAAATACCATTTAACTCATCAATTTGACAAATACAATGGTGTAGGTATGTTAACGGGTAATAAATTGGGTGTTGGTGGTGTACCACTAGCAGGTGAAGATCTTCGACCACAGAATTCTGTTTATCCACGAGGTAAGGAGAAAAAGTAACTGTGATATTCTTTTCATACGATTTTTGTCACAGGCGAAGGACCTGATCGACCAGCTTGGCTTGCGTTTGATAAGCAAGTTCTTTGTTTTGATGCTTATTTTCAAGAATCGATAACAGAACGTCGTGAAGAACAGTATCGTATTCGAAAATGTCGTGTCTACTTTTATCCAGAAGATGATACAGTTCAAGGTCTTTTATTTCCCTTATCAAATTATTAATCATATAAATATGTCTCTTTTTAGTTGTTGAACAACGTCAAAATAATGTTGGTTTTCCACAAGGTACAATTCTTAAACGTCATCGTGTACCACTGCCAGCACCTAATGATGATCGTTTTTTTACCTATGATCAATTCAACGTTGGAGCTGAAGTATCATTATATGGACGAGTATACAAACTAATTGATTGTGATCCATTTACACGTAACTTTCTAACAAAACTTGGTGTTCGTGTACCACCAGGTATAGAGTTATGCAATAGTGAATGACTTATTTTAAAAATCAATTTTTAATTTAGGGTTTACGGCACCAGAAGATCCGTTTCTTAAACATCGTCACACTGTAAGTATCAAGACAAGATTAGAAATTCTACTTGTTGTAGTTACTTATATTACAATTAACTGAAAATTATTATGATTTTATCCCACTAGAAAATCTTCAATTTTTTTCATACTAGTATATGATGACTACTAATTTTTATCATCAATTATGATTGAAAACGATTAAAATAATGCAAACACATCGGAAGTAGTTTTTCCTTTTAACCACTATTAAAATTATGTTTTTCCAGATCCGTTTTATAGACCTAAAAGTATCACGGTATACAATTTTTGCTTTACCTCGAACTACCCTGGAAGAGAATCTTGTTCTCATCCTATGATATTGATCAAACACAATACAAAATAAACTAATATGAAAGCAACTAAATATTTGTAATATGTATTTACTATAAGAAAAATATCAGACAAAAGATTTCTTCATTTTTCTATTGATTACAGAAGTTAGCACAAAAGTTTTGTGCTGCTTCCGAGTCTACATAAGACGCATAGATTACGAATTAAAAACACAATCTATGTAATTTTCACAAAACAAAACTCAACATGAAGTAATTTTAAATTGTGTTTGTGCTATTTTCTGCTAATGATCAGGCTCAATCATGTTTAGAAACTTTTTAAATCAATAATACTCTCACTGAATACGTCCTATAATCTCTACAATCGTTTTTTGAAATTTCCAGTATATATATATATATATGTATATTTTTTGACTTTATTAGTCTGATGGTACTCAAAATCCACTTCGACCATATGAAAGAATTGATTCATTAAAACAATTCATTAATCATGATACACATGTCTTACGTTTTTGGGGTGTTTGGGATGATTCAGAAAGTCTATATGGTGATGTACGAAATTTTGTTGTACATTATTTTCTTGCCGGTAACAAACTGAAAAAAAGAAGTAAAACTAAACAATCATTATCTTTTTTTTGTTCATGTATAGATGATACAATGGAAATTCGTGAAATTCTTCCACCGAATTCCGGGCGCGATGCACCACCAACATATCTCTCTCGAAGTAAATTACCAAAAGATTTTAATGGATTACGGTTACCAGGTGAAAATGCACAACGAACAGTACTGAATGTATTCGGTCAATTAAATAAACAACGATGGATTCTTGATAATCTTAAAGTAAAAGACAAGAAATATGAAAGATAAAATGATTTTAATTCTTTACCTTTTTCTTCTTCTAAAAACTATGTAGACAGGTGCTGTCGATCAAAAATATTATAGTGATCAAGATTTAGCCATTGGTCAATTAATTAATGTATACGAACGTAAAGTTTTACTAACTGATTGTGATGAATTCACAAGAAATTATTATCGTTCCAAATATGGTGTACAAGATTTTACACCAATTAATTATAGCAAAGGAAATGATTATAAAGCATTGAGACAAAGCTATCCGTGTAAGAATGTAAACTAGAGCACTAAATAAAATTGTTTTTTCTCGTTACATAGACACGGGTTTTGGCTCAGAAGAAGATTCACTGAATTCAACGAAAAAGTTGCTTCCAGAACCAGTTAAAAAAGACTTCAATAAATTTATGGGATTTGATCGGTATGTAAACGATTTCAAAGTTACACACAAGACAGTATCATAAGTCTAGTTCAAATTTTTTTTCATATAAATAAATTTTCAAGAAAGAAGATGAACAGTACTGTTTTTCTCTATAAATTAATCTGACCGATTTAAGATTTCTACTGGAAAAAGTGTCTATTATAATGCAGTTGGTAATGAGGAGGAACCACTAGGTTTGATGTGATTTTCTGGTTTCAATGTCAGTAGTCATAGAAAATTTTAAGCTGAGTCTTCTGTAGAGAACACTATTTATAGAAAATATTCCATATTCGAAAATTTTTATATCTCTTAGAGACTTTTTTTTCAAATTCTAGACTATGATGAATCCTTCATTGATTATACACCTTCAAAATATATTTATCATATTTTATTTATTTTCAGTCAAGGTCTTGAAAGTAACGTTCTTCGTTTCATGGCTAAAGTCATAACTAAAGATCCAATACAAGCTGCACGACGTTTTGTTATAGCGTATTATCTTGCCGATGATACTATCAATATTCATGAACCACCAGTACGAAACTCAGGTAATAAAAAGCGACCCTAAACAACTGAATTCTTTTTATTTTATTTTTTTGTTTCCATATTTTATCTAGGCATCGGAGGTGGTAAATTTCTTGAACGTCAAAAAGTAAAAAAACCGAATCAACCACGATATCCACTTGAAGTATCAGAATATTTCAATGGCACAGACTTTTATGTTGGAGCTCGTGTTATCATCAATGGTTTTGACTTTTATATATATGATGCTGATGAATATGCTTATAAATTAATGGAAAAAGAATGTTATAGTTTTGCTGTTGCAAATCAAAAATTAATCTTAGAAAAATTACGACAATATTTAACCAACAATGCTGATGCTGTAGCGCAATTTGAACAACATGATCCACAACGTAAAGGTTACTTTGGTTATGAAACCTTTTATGGTTTAATGAAAAATCTTGTTGGAAACGTGTTAGTTGATCATGAAATCATAACAATTGCGCGTTATTATGCTCAAAAAAGTTTGAAAGAACACGATATTTATTCTATTGTTGCTGTTGCTCAAGAACATTTACGAAAAAATAATTATGAACATTTATTACCATTAAAAGAAAATTTCATTAAACGTGATCGAAAGTAAGTTCATTGTCGTATGGATTTATATATTTTTTTTCATGATTATCATTTAGTCGAAATGGTCGATTATCTATTGAAGACGTTCGTAATGCTGTACGATCTGTTCATGTTCCATTACCTGACTATCTTTTAAATACACTTCTCACTCGGTAGATTTTTATTTAAAATATCAAAATTCAAGATGGCTATTTGTTTTTCTTTTTTTTCTTACATTAGTATGACTCAAGAAGATGGCTGCATTGATTATAATGACATACTTAGTGCCTTAAATTGGCGTGAATTGCCTGTTTCAAAACCAACACCAACGGATGCCGACGAACAAGATACTTTTGCTTCAACAGGTCATTCAGATGATCCGAAAATGGCAGATAAAACAACACATGAACGTAAACGATTTAATGTCGAATATAGTATTATGCTTCAAGATCTTGGTATAAATACGTCACATCCCTTATCAACATTAGATACATCCAACAATTGAGATGACTGTAAAAAGTAATTATTACTGATAATAGCAAAACTCAAAATACATATTCCACAAAAACTAATAATCTTTACTCATAATATGGTTTTTCTTTTTTTTTCAATTTTTATTTTAAAAGAATAAACAAAAGATTCTGATTTAATTTTTGATTTTTAAAGTTCTAGACAAAAATAAATAGCAACGTTATTAAAGGATTGTGGGCGTACTGAAATGTGACCATAATTAATAAACTGCATACAAAAAAGAAAGAAGCTCATCTATTCGTTCTGCTTGAGAATTCAATATAAAGTTGATTGTTTTATTGATTTTTTTAGTTTCATTTCTGATTATACTTTGAATATATGATGGGTTAATTTGTTTTACTAAAAGCTGTTGAGTCATAAATGAAATCGATTTGTTTTTAATATGAATGACTTGCAGGTTTAAGTGCACGATAATATCCTCAATCCATTGCTGTTGGGTAGTATAGAGTGGGATAGATAAAATAAATCAAGTAACTCTTCACAGCAACAGCAAAAACTGCTGGAATTCAATAAAAACCTATTTCAATACATGCAAATAAATCAAAAGAATGAAATATATTTTTAAAAAAATTCTACTTCTTGGCAATCTAAGTTATACTTTCACAATCATTTTGATATCTTTATTATATTATTTTATGTATGCAAACAAGAGAATCTAACTGTTTACAACTTTTACTTTGAAAAGAACAGAATAATACGCTAACTACGAGAGTAAGTATTGGTATTGAACAGCATGACTTCCGTAGAATTTAGTTATGAGGACAAATGTTTTTCTGTATACCTATCGACATCTATTATTTAACTAAGAAAGTAAGTACAAAACATGAGAATCACTAGGATGCATTATTTCACTGTTTTACTAAGTTGTCTATTCACGAAAAAAATGTTTCAATCGAATGAAAATATCGAAATCAGAGGTTAATGCTATAGCGTAATTATAGAGAATGGTGAAAGACAACTGTGTGCTTGTTTAGTCAAACATAACGATACAACCCATGTGACAATTGAAAAAATCTATTTTTTTATTAAGCTAGACGTATCAAATTTTGTTCATAAATATGGTAAGTTCACTAACGAAAAGAACACATCTGTATCTATACGCATAGTTCTGCATAGGCGTTCTCTCATCAATTTAACAAACATCAAGGTGCTGGTGGTCGTGGTGGTGGTGGTGGTGGTAGTAGTAATAATGCTACCATTAATTGGATTGCTAATCAGAATACTCAACGTGAACTTGAAGCAGATCGAGTTCTACGCGAACGACAATTAACACAAGGTCGCATTGAAACTGAAATGCAACAATTTGCAGGTAACACAGTCAATAAACGACATGTACGTGAGCAAGCACGTGTTGAACGTGATCGAGCAATGGAAGATTCAATTATCCGAGTACAAACAGAAAAACAGCAAGCCACTGAAATGCGTAGTCAAAACGAACGTCTAGCTGCGGAGCTTGAAAGAGTCAAACTTGAAAAATTTCGCGATGAAAAAATGCGACAACAAGTTCGGTATTTACGAAAAAAAATAAAATATTCATTTTTACTTAGCAAAAAAAATCTTCTTTAGTGAAACCAGCTATGAATTGCGTGATTTAGAATCAAAATTACGTGCTGCTTACGTACAAAAGGCACGCACAGCACAAATGGCTGAAAAAGAAGCACTGAAATTTGATTCATATTTAGAAGATGCTGAAATAGTTCGACGCATGCGTACTGAAACTGATAAAGATGAACAAGATCGTCGCCAACGTGAAATCATTCGACAACAAGAAATGATTCGTTATAAACAAGAACTTGAACGACAACTTGAAGAAAAAGCACTGGGTAAACAGAAAGCTTATGAAGAATTTCTACGAGAAAAATTGGTTGTGGACGAAATCGTCAGAAAGATCTATGAAGAAGATCAACGGTATGTTTTTTTTTTCTTCAACATTCTATGAACAATTCTAGAACAAACTTTGATCAGTTTAATTTGTGTTCATTTCACAGAGATCATGCCTGTAGACTTGGCGAATAATATATAATTATTATTTTCTTAAATCATTCTAATAATGGATTTACGTCTATGAATGAATTTTACTGTGACATTGTAGCCTGTCTAAAGCTCAACTTTTTATTTGAAAATCTAACACAATAGATATCCATGTTTTTTTACACTCTGCTATGATTGAAATTCAATGAATCTTAGAATAATCATTCGCCAACCCCTAGGAATTTCCCAACAAACTCGATTTCAACGATAGATGCCAATTTGATAATACTACTTTATTTTTCTCTACAGGGAAACTGAACGTAAATTTGAACGTCAACGTGTTACCCGTGATTTTATAGTTGAGTTTAAACGTAAACGTGAAGAATGGAAAGTTATGGAACGCCAACGCATGGAAGAAGAAAATCGTCGCATAAAAGAATATGCTTACACGCAACAACAACGTGAGGACGTGGCAAAAGCTGAAAAACGTGCTCGAGAACAAGCTCTAGATAATGTACAACGTACATTAGCTGATCAGATAAAACGTGATCGTGAAGAACGTGAAGAACAAGAATTAGTACGACAAGAACTATATTTGGAAGAACAAGAACAAGCTGTACGAAGACGTGAGCGTGATGAGATGGAAGCACGTATAAAACAACGCCTTGAATTACAACGTGAACGTGACGAACAAATACAATTTAAACATTTACGTGACGGAGAAATTAAACAAGAAGAAGATAGATTTCGACAACAAGTTGGAAAACAATATGACAATACTTTTTACTATAGAAATTTTCCTTTTTTATTATAGTTGATGACAAAATTTGCAGAAGATGATCGTATTGAACAAATGAATGCTCAAAAACGTCGTATAAAACAAATGGAACATAAAAAAGCTGTTGATAATTTACTTGAACAACGTCGTCATCAAATGACAGTTGATAAAGTTTGTATTTACGTAACTATTCATATGGTGATTCATAAATTTTTTTATTTAGCAACGTGAAGTTGCTGAACGCATTGAAGGTGAACGTGTTGAACATGTTCGAAAACAAATTATTGAAGAAGAACGTATTAAATTACTTCGTGAACATGCGCATCGTTTATTGGGATATTTACCCAAGGTACAAAAAGAAAGGGGCTCGAGAATTTTTCTAAAATTTTGTTATCATTTAAGGGCGTTATTCGAGATGAAAAAGATCTTGACTATCTTGGTAATGATTTTAAAAGTGAATTCAAACGACGACAAGTCAATATGCAACATCTCGGTGGATGGGACAATTGATAACTTCTTTATATTTTTTTTATATGCATTTACTCTTTTGTCTTTGGGAAGAAAGGCCAATTAAATACATTTATTTATTTTATAATAGCATAAGTCATTATATTAATAATTACAAAGCATCTCTTAAGATAAGTGTTATCGAGTTTCTTTTTCCAGTCATGTTTTCTTTACAATGACGCTACATTTTTACTACTCAAAACTTCGTCACAAATCTACACTTTTCAATGATTCATTTTTGGTCAGGATCAAGTTTGATCTACAGATTCTATTATCACTCCATATTCAAACAAGCTGTTTTGAGTCGCATCTATTTGAAATACTGCTATCTAGAATTAGAATTCTAATAGATTGAACTAGATATGACTTTCTATACACGCTCATCGTGGCCAACAGAATTTATACTCCTAATTGAAATCTCAATTGATTCTTGTATATCATTGAATCGAACACAATGCGATCTTTATAGAACTATGGTTGACTAATCGTTTTATTAAATGAAACTTCGATTGGAATAAGCACACTATTTTAATGAACTCAAAAGTAGAATATTATTTTTTAGTTTGACAGATTTTACGGCAAAAAAAATAGTGTATACTCTGCTCTTTCTCCCTACATTGAGTATCTTGATCATTTTTGGCCTTGTCAGACACCAGAATGAGTTCACCTTCATCTTGCCATGCTACGCCTTCTATATTGCAATATTTCATTCCACATTCTGATGTTGCTGCATGTGTTCTTGGCAGATCATAAATGGTGTTATTATTTAATGATGAAAGTGAAAAGAAAGGTGCTTGATAGATCTCTTCAATCATACCGACCCATACTTGACTCATCTGTTGACTGGTTACTGCAACATACGCTGGTAACTCATTTGCTTTTCGATGGTAAATTGACAACGATGAATAGTCGTCNTTACAAAGTAAAATCTCGTTGTTGACTAGGTGCATAGTTCCTGAATAAAATTTAATGACGAGAGGAATCGAGCTATAATGTCACTTCAAATTCATATATACTGATTTGAATTGCATCTATTTGGAATACTTTTGTGTACGCAAGAACTGGATGGCTTTCCAAACACGCTTATCTGGATCAACATAATTTTATGTCAACTGAATCTTAATCGATCCTACGATATATAAATTGTTATTGATAAGGTCACAAAACGTTTAGGAAACTGTTGGCACCTCACGTTACATTTATTGGCATGCTATATCATAGAATCGAACGCAATACGATCTCCATAGAGCTTCATTAAATAATCGCTTTATTAAATTATACTTCAATTGAAACAAACACACTCTTACAATGAATTATTTAACGGTGAAATACGTTTTCTTTAGTTTGAGAAATTTTGAGGAATGAAAAAATAGTGTACACTCTGCTCCTGCTCGATACATTGAGTACCTTGATTATTTTTGGCCTTGTCAGACACCAAGATGAGTTCATATTCGCCTTGCCATGCTACACCTTCTAGATTGCAATATTTTATTCTACATTCTGATGTTGCTGCATGTGTTCTTGGCAGATCATAAATGGTGTTATTATTTAATGATGAAAGTGAAAAGAAAGGTGCTTGATTGATCTCTTCAATCATACCGACCCATACTTGACTCATCTGTTGACTGGTTACTGCAACATACGCTGGTAACTCATTTGCTTTTCGATGGTAAATTGACAACGATGAATAGTCGTCGAAATGAACCGTCGATGGTATAACAAGTGTGCCAACTGGTTCCCAACTACAAAGTGCTGAAATGATTTTATTATAGATCTCTTTAAATATAATTTCCCTTACATTTTTTAGTAGCTTCCTTCTTTTCAAGCACTAAAATGCGTCCATTATTGTTTGATGTTGATTTAGGATTGCAATCATTAGCTTCGCATAATCCCAACAGATAACTGTGACCAGAACCTTGATGAGTAACAAATTCGAGACCTTCGATACCCTTATTATCTGTTGGGAAGTCCCAATTGATTGTACAAGATTCTAGTACACGAATAGGTGTAGAATCTGTAAGTATGATACGAATCTCAAAAATATTAGCCCGGAAAACTTCTTTCATCTCGGTTGGGATTGTTTCTTGTGCGACGAAATAGGTATCGTTGATTGAGTTATAAGTAATCCCTTCGAACTGGGAGTCTGTCGTGGCTAATGATGCATCTGGCCAAGCAAGTAGCTGATCGGTACAGTTGAAAGATTGGCCAAATGGTGTACAAAAGGTGCCAATATGATATGTGTTGTCGAAAACTACGAATATCATTTGGTTGTCACGATACAGTAAAACATCGGATGCTTCGAAGCGATTAGGAAGGGTTTCAATCTGGCTATACCTAAAGGTGACAACATATTCCAGTTCAAACTTGGATCTATAATATTCCCTAAATTGTCACTTTCTTTTGTTAGTTCTGAAAACTTAAATGTAGGCTTATTTTTTAGCTAGGGGTGAAAAGTTATTGTTATCTTGTTGTTATTAATAACAATAACACTAACTTTTTTCGATAGTTATTTGTTATAAATCAAAGATAAATAACATCAACGTTTTTTTGTGAAAACTCAGTTCATTGTTTTTATCCATTATACTATGCTAAGTAGCAATATAGAAGATAAAAATTGGTTCTCAAGCATCAGCTCATATAGTGGATACAATTAAAACATACAACGAACTGAGACATGATCTTTTTCAGAAAAAAAAGTTATTTGCTATTTATCTGTTATTTATAACAAATAGTAAAAAATGTTATTGTTATCAATAATAAACCACAAAAAAAGTTATTGTTATTGATATCGATAACAATGCATCCACACTCCTATTTTTAGCTAACAACAGCTAGGATACGTAATTCTAAGTGTCTACCTTTTCAAACTATCGATGTAATCAACTGTTACTACGAAGGTCAAAATTTAGTACATCTAATTCATTTATTTCGTGTACTCTATAGTAACTATTATTTTGGCCACGATAAATGATATGATGACTAATGTGACAGTGAAATAAACTTTTAGCTTATTAATCAATACTCAGAGCTTTAAAAGAATCGAAGAGACAATAGAGTTTTTAAAGAGCTCCCTGTTTTTTAAGAATAACTAAACATTGCAGCGTCTAACTATAACCTGAAAATGTTGAATATTTCATTGAAAATATAGTTCATAGCCAACTTATACCCACAATATCGAGAACGGCGCACCTTCAATCACTATCAACAGTAATATCTTTATGTTCGAAGATTTTAGATGTACGTCAGGCAAAGATATTTCTCAGATCTGGTGTATAACACTAGATTGCTAATGTATATCGCACAGGAATGCTAATGAGAAAAATCATCAAAGTAATATTGTAGAGAATACTTGAGTACATCGTTTTGATGAAAAAATATGTGTAATTCAACTAAAATGGAAGTAAAACGTTTAGTGAGCCAGTCAATATGTATCGATCATTATAAATACAATATTTTATCTATAGTATATGTATCAGACTTTTTACTCAGTATTTTTGTGTTAAGGACAATTATGAGTGAAAAAGAAATTGGAAGAATTTAAGGGCCCCCTTTCAGAATCGACTTGCCAGTTTTGAGCATAGGTTTGAGCTGAAACTTTCAGGGATACATGGTGGCAGTGAGAAACGCTTGTGGTAACAATTTCAGCCATGTATACCTTACTAAACTGGACTTACGACTTGCTTTATAGCTTTCACGAGAATCGAAATAACTCTTTTGACTGTGAAAGTTATCGAGGTCGAGTAGATTTCAAATTAAAGCTAGCATCCATACGCAACGTTTCATCGGACGGAATTTTTAAATTCTCTTCTATTTATTTTTTATCAGCATTTTATTCCGTATGACAGCCAAATTAGGTATAAAAAACGCACTAAATCAGACTTTTCTCAGTGCAGGAATCAAATATCGAAAATCCGGTCGATGAAAAGTTAGCTCAGATTCAAACCTTTAAAATAAATAAAAATATCGGGGAAAGCTAAAGCCAAACGAAAGTTATAACAATTTTTCTGCTTGAGACCCATGTTTTCAGACCAACATTTAGGAATTTTTAGAAAGGTGTGCGGTAGTAAGGGAAATGAAAGAGTATTTCTTCAATAAGTCTGTCAAAACGTAACCTTTTTTTCAAATAATTATATATATTCTGAGAGAGGAAATCACGGGGAATCTTCCTATGATAAAAACTCGATTCCGTTTTTTTTTGAAAAATCGGCTTTTCTGAGGGGGGGAGCCCTTAATAATCCTATCTATCTCGTCGTTTAGAACGAGAACAAGAAAACAATGATCGATGAAACAGTATAATTCAAGCAAAATATTTCCGATTTGGTCATACCATATTATAACGAATACATAACTCTGCGCGTTAGCAAGCTATTCTAGACGAAGACTCGTTAAATTTGTGTAATTCGATTACTCTTATACCTAGTATATTGATCAGAAATAGAAGAACAGACTATTATGTGATAAGCTAAAAAATTCTTTAAAATATTTTCTATCTCCAACAAATTCGAAGAGAACGATGAAGATGAATTAAGTCTTAAAACTTTTTTAACAAAAATATCAAATACTTACGATGACGAATCCACAAAAGAAGTGACCCCTTTTTGTTCTTGTATCAATTGAAGAGTGCTTTCTTGAGAACCGAGACTTCCACAAGGATTTAATGCTGCTGCTTGGACGTAGAACATTATCAAATCAATAACGCCGACTAGGAAAAAAATCACCCGTATCAAAGACTTGCATTTCATTGTATTATTGAGCATTTCAGTAAAAAAGTTTTGAACACTATTGAGCAAATCAGTTGGGCCGGTATTGTATCACCAGAAGATATGGTTCGTTAGAGAAGGTCGGTGTCCGTTTTCTCATTAGTCTCAATTGAGTATATATAGTTTTTCGTATGGGTAATTATTTTAGAACATTAATTAGTTCACATAACACAAGATTTTCGAATCATTAATCTTTGAAATAACAGTGAATGTATTATATTTCAAAGATGAAATAATGCGTGATATCAATAAAAACAAGTAGTTAAGAAACTATGAGCATCAGATTTGATTAGTTATTTTTAGTAAAACTCGATAAAAAAAATGATCGATTCATGTATCAACCGCGTGGATAGTGGTTTTTTTTGTAGTAATATGATCCTGATCTCTTTAAAAATTATCAATTTTTCTGACATTTGATAGTTTAGTGAAAAAAAATCACAGGTACACAATCATTGGTTAGTACCAAAATCAAATGTGCTGAAAAAAGTATTATCACTTAGACTGCTGACTATCCCAGATAGAAAATCACCAGTTTTTTTTGTAGCTTTCGTTCGATTACACTGGAACCTTGAACATGTTTGATTCTGATAGAGTTATACAAATAGATGTCACATAGCTGTGATTAAAATCCATCGATAATGCGCAGTATCAGTATGTGTATTATTTTATCTGCCATTCTTTATCAAAATATTGAACTATAGCTCTCATCCTCAATCGATAGTTATTCATGATCGATGTCACGATAGATGTGCAAAAGTCAATGATCGTCGCAGATGATTATCCAGCTCATACATCACATAGCATTCTTTGGAAGGAGGATTCAAAGGTATGCATCCATCGAATATGGCGTGTTCTTCAACTATTTTGTTATTAAATGGCGACTATAACATCTTACAACTCTTTGAAACATATTGTGCAAATGCTTCTCAAGAAATAAACAAAAATGTCGTTCCGGGTATTGATCTAGAGTAGAACTGATTTGTGAGAGAAAATACCAATCGAAACGAATCAGTACATGCTTCTTATTAAATTTTGACATTTGAAAAAGATTTATTCCTAAACATCTGATGATTTTCATACCAGATAGAGAGAATGACGGCATGTATTTTGCCAACTTTTCATTACACTTTGCTCCTTTTGAGATTTTGACAATAGCGTTTGAAGAAACTTTTTCAATCCGATAACTTTTACTTCAATATGTTAAGCTTCTGTCCTCATCTGAATCATATTTTATGTTGACTTTATTGAAGCATATTGTTGGAATCCGAGAACTTCATAGTACGCTTGTTGGTTCTTAAAACGCTACAAGAAAATATGCACTAGAAAACTATTGCTATGCTAAACTCAAGTATCGCAATGAGCAACGCATAACATTAAGAATGAATCTATTCATCAACACAGAGTTGCAAAAAAACGCTATAACAAGCTGAGACCAATATCACAAATATTGTCAATTTTTCTGGAACAACGTTATCCCATCTGATTGTGATACTATGTGGTCAGTGATTAACAATAATTCATTGACAATCATCAAATAGAATTTACCTCAAGCGATTTTCTTCACATAAAACTGCTAATCGAATGCGTCTTCTCATTACCACAAATAACACCAATCTTATTAAATTTATTTGTGGAATGTTGCTATCTTTATAAAGCTTGCATAATCAAATATTCTATTGTCTATTTTGTATGATTCAAAGATAACTAATAAATCTACAGATCCTTTGAAAAAGATGGCTGTGGAAAAATAGTTTGTCATGACTGAGCTACCTTTTGGTTAAAAGAGTCCAAACATTGTGTCAATCTCAATCTAACCTATGCTAAGATGTATGCTTCATGAAAACGTTTGATTACGCAATCCGTTGAAAGTCAAAATGCGAAACTTACTACAGTAGTGCAGAATGACTTATGTGACGATCGTTTTGTAATGATCATCAGCTTCTTCAAAAATCTATCTCAACGTCAAAGAATCATATTATTGTCCATATTTTGATGATTGTGAATTTTTTAAATATTTTTTGTTTCAATTCCATAGTGAGACTGAATACCTCTTTCTTGATTCCTTAAAACACATACAGACAATTACGAAGTTCGTTTTTCTTTACTCTATTTAGATCTCAGTGAGTTAAAAGTCGAATATAATGGTTCAAAAAGTTCGAAAAAGTATATTCCATTGTTATCAAAAATAAGAATGTAATTAGTATACATCAACAACTGTTTTTCTTTATGTAAATGGTTTTAAGTCATACTTGACACGAATGAAAAAGATAATGTTTCCGTAGGTGATCGTTAGAAATTTCTTATTCAGGTGATTTTTAAAAGTATAAAGTTTTCTAGAGAACACGATGGTGTAGATTACTAGAAATTCTCATTGAAGTATTTATTTTCACTTTTGACAAAAAAAACGAATGTACTTTTTTCGAGCCAGTCATGGATATGTCGAATTTACGTCACTCCGACCTATATAGATTTTTTATTACATAAAAGGAAACACTAGAACGGCT